CGATTTTATTGAATGGCTTCAAAAACTCCAAGAATAATTGAAGTAACTCAAAGCTTTAATTCATCCCACATCGAATGCGCATGAGGTAATGTGTTAGGTTTTTTTTTTTGTCTGTAAATGGTTGAAATCATCCTGCATTGGTCAATGATGAGATTTTAACCTGAGACTTCTGCGATAGGATCATGGATCTTTATATCTGATAAAGGCCATCCTTATTAATATAATTGTTTATTCTTATTAGTATTCTTCAAAGAATACTAATAAGGATGATCTTTATCAGATATAAAGGTTCATGCATGTTACCAATTTAGGCTTATCCAATTGGCCTATTAACTCATTTATGTATAGGTTTTTGAAACGGCAAAGACGATATTGGAGTCCATGTTATTTCTGCCAAAAGGTACTGCTTTTAAATTTTTTTTAAACATTTAAAAATGTACTGCAAAGGGAAGATGATCTCATTTTGATTGATCTTTGTAAATTGTTTTTACATGAATTTTTAGTTATTATACTCAATAAAACAAAAACAATGCTGGCATTGCTTTGTTTATTATTGTTATTTTTTGTTTGTTTCAATACTTTTGTTTAGACAAACTGTTCCTCATTACCTTCTTAGCATTTATTTATGTTTCATAGTCCAAAACACATTGTAGGTAGAGTTCAAGCACTAAAAGCATGAAATCATAGAGCCATCTCCTTTAATCCGTGAAATAAAAATAGTACGAAGTAGTACTTAAATTATGCCCATGTATTTGCTTACNATTGAACAGAGAGGCCCTAATGAGAATTTGTGTCGACTTTGTGATGGGTTAATTACTTCATAGAAAGTGCGATGTAGTGGATTTTATTTACGAGTTGTTTGTATCGTACAACGAGCGATTAACCAGTCGTACAGTGCACTATCCATGAATATTTTTTTTCAAAAAAGCTTCTCTAAGTACAAGCAAATATTAACCGCAATGTCAAATAATAAAGCTTTTACAATGGGGAGAACATCAGAAATATTTTACTGTCTGCAATTAAATCTACCTTTAATAACGCATTATAAAGTGACGATTCTAAACTGATTCTTTTTCATTGAAAGTTTTTGTCTATAGGGAGCTGGTATAGTCACTCTAAAACCGCGAAAACTCCTTTTCAACGACGATAGAACGATTTCAAAAGAGCCTTCTAAATGATGCATGTCACTCTGATTACCTTGCTAGCCATTCGCCATTTCATTCGGATGTTGCTTCTATTACAACGCTAGACCAACTTTTTTTCGAAGAATATCAAGCAAAGTGTCAATGTATTTGGCTTCTAAATCCTTTGCTTGAACGTCATCAATTGTGACGTCTTTCATTAAATCCAGGACCTTTTGTTCAGCTTGATCAAGGTCACTGCGGCACATCCCATATAATGCATACTTTTGCACTAATTTTCCTTCTTCCAAAGAACGYTCTTCGCTTAGMTTTCTCATTTTCTTGATWTTTTKCATTGCACTTGTATGGGGCACTAAGTTACCAACATCCTTCCCTTCACAAGCTTGCTTGTAAAAAGCAAGAGCTAACTGGAGGACKTCATTRCTTGCAGAAAAACTTTGACATTCACTTTTAACAAAATCGATAAATTTCTCCTCATTGACATTCACAGAGTAYAAAACCAMCCATGCCTTTGTTAAGCACCTTGCAAGAAGAGATTCATACGTGTTCAGTGCAATGAGAATTTCTGGYCTTGCATCACTTTTTTGCCTAAACATTAACCTTTCGACACAGTCTTTGGATCTGCTTTTAAARAGAAGCAGTAATGAGCATACCATTTCTTTGATTTCACAATCATGCAGAGTATCATCATGGAATTTGTCCAGAAATAATTCAAGGAACAACCTTCTGTGGAAAAYGCAAGACTGATATGTTAATGTGAAACTCCTCTGAAGCATRSTRATGGATTTTRGCASTATCGTTTGTCGTATATCAAAGATGAWGCGTGCTGCTTCTGCAAGCTTGTAGGGTTCTTTATAGGCTAGCAAGTTACTTTCTGGCATTATGTARTGAGGAAKACATCCTTCTTCAARGCTCTGCTGAAGACGATTCAGCATATGMAARAGGCACTTGGCTGAGYWGTCCTCTTTCCAAAAGCTTTCGGTTTGCTTTTCRATTTCCCAAAACAACAAATTCTTTAGTAAATATGTTGATATGCAGGAGTCATTGATATAGAATTGTTTGAGCATCTTTAGAAGAATCATGACATGTCTTTGAACAGGACTCACACTTTGACCAAGTTTGTTTTCAGCAACAGAGAAAGACAACCTCCATTCRTATTCATCCATGRCAGATGAATTTTGCTCTGTTGAATTCGCTTGAGAATTTRAAGGATCTKTTAGGTATTCAATCAGCTGTACGGGATCTTGGTGTCGTTTWCCTCTTCCAACTGGTGCAATATGGCAGCCAGATTCAAACACTTCYTGGACGAGACYAGGMGATGGCCAAGGCCCAGTGCGTGGTCGAACCAACCATTCCATCGCTGGCTCAGGCCATGCTTGAGGAAATTTAAAGACATTTGYATGATCTTCTTCATGTTTGATCCAATTTCCCTTGGATTCCATTTTACGTACAGGACCATGAACATCAAATGACCACTTCACCTTTTCATTYCTGGTGCTAGTATTAAGGGTGTCAAGTACAGACTGATAAAAAGTACTTTTACCAGGAAGAAGATAACTCTGGTGAAGAAACGTGGAGTCTTTGAATCTTTTGCGAAACATTTTCCACTCTTCGGTAAGTTTCAGTTTCACGTACCTGGGGTCATCTTCTGCGTGGAACACTTCGCTAAATATCGAGACTGGTAGCTTGTGTTCATTAAGAAGAAAACTRTCATTTACCGTCATTGYATCGTGATCACTAATCCAATGTTCAGTGTCGTCCAGATCCACTTGAAGGTATTCTGATGCATGCTCTTGATCCTCATATCGCGGGAAGTGATMAGTATTTTTTGGAACGTGCATTTCAGGAATACAAAATCCTTCCGCTTGGCTTCCTGCCTCGATATCCACCTCTTCTCGAGAGCCGATGTAATCTGGATTTGAGCGGAGTACGTCATCTTTAGCAATAAGTTGGTACCAGTCTCCATAGATGTATTCGATCGGCATCATACAGTTTAAGATGACCGAGAACGGCTGGAGCCAAACTCCTGATATTCTATCAAAGGTGTATTTCTGCAAAGGAAAAAATGAGAGGAAAATCACTATAAAAATGGATTGTAATAAACTAGTCTCCGATTAAACTATATGAAATATAWATGAGCGGGACGCATTTGTATAAGCATAATATATAGGTCGGACTCCAATATTTTTTTTACCATACATGCACACTTGTACATGTGAATTCTCGCGAGCTGATTGGATGATTAGAGTGTGTCAATAAAAGGACATGCACACTGTGCTGACACCATCACGTCTCGCGCGCGCGCTGAATCGAAAGAAAAGAATGATTTTCGTTATATTTTAGACTAAAACTGCGGTAAAAAAATCAAAACAAATTGCACACGGTTTTTCGTTGTACGTCCTTTTATTGACACACTCTTGACGTCATAAAACTCGATCACGTGACTCATATTGCTTATCAAATAAAGCTTAACTTGCTAAGAACTTCAAGATAAAATATTGTTTAAAAGAGAAAATAATTCTAAGTCAAAGTCGTATGCCTGACAAATCTCAAGCTCACGTAAAGATGCGGTCACGACAATCATTTTCCATTGTGTTCAACATGATACAATGCTTAATATGATCGTTAGCCATTTTCAGGTTCAAATAGGTGAAACCATTGTAAGGGATTTTTTTAAGAAACCTTGCTTCGCAAACGTTTCGACAACTATGAAATAATGTGTAAAATTATAATGCCCGATCCGTTTTGGTTTACCGTGAAATGGCAACCTCAAATGCCGGATAATTTAGTGCAGACAGTGTTAAGGAACTGACGAATTGTACACATAATATCCATGGCATAATTCGTTGCCTTCTGAAGTTCTGATTCTCCCTTATCGGTCTTAGCTATCTGATGATGATGTGATATTAAGTAAAGCTTATTTGTTTACTTTGAACTGTCAGACTGTGTTCATGATACCCGCGTGAAACTCATTTTGTTCAAGAAGTTTCCTTATCTGTCTTATTGCTCTTTTTCAATCATTCCCATGAGATTCAAAAGATAAAAGACCGGCGGCCATGTTGGTTGAATGAACAATAGATACTAATTAGAAATCCTTTGTTGAAGTTCAACCAAGATGGCGGCTGTGACGTATATTGCAAACGAAGAATATTATCATAGATAATTTTATAACCTTTGTGGAGCTGAAAACACTTATTTGTTTCAGTTCGGTATATTTTTTTAGCTTTATAAAGGAGTATACAGTATATTAAATATAAACCATAAAATACAGAGTTGGAGTTATTTTTGATGTCAAATGAATAGCATTCATTATCAAGATAGTCAAATGTGTATATATATTATTTAGAATTGATAATAACGATTCTCATCACGATTTTTGTACCATATTGTACTTACCGATTTCTCCATTTTCACTTAATGAATGGCGAGGAATTGATGAAAATAGAACTGCAAGATATATGATGGATAAACCGATAATAATGATAACTGATGAAAGTGAACTGGCTCTGCGTATCCTGTGGAGTGTTCTGACGTGATTATTCATTTGATTAATTTATGTATTACAGAGGGTTACTGAAGCGGGCCACCTAGAGAATACTCCGATTTCAAAACCACGCAAAATATTCTTTTGTTTCATTGANCTTCACCTTTTCATTTCTGGTGCTAGTATTAAGGGTGTCAAGTACAGACTGATAAAAAGTACTTTTACCAGGAAGAAGATAACTCTGGTGAAGAAACGTGGAGTCTTTGAATCTTTTGCGAAACATTTTCCACTCTTCGGTAAGTTTCAGTTTCACGTACCTGGGGTCATCTTCTGCGTGGAACACTTCGCTAAATATCGAGACTGGTAGCTTGTGTTCATTAAGAAGAAAACTATCATTTACCGTCATTGCATCGTGATCACTAATCCAATGTTCAGTGTCGTCCAGATCCACTTGAAGGTATTCTGATGCATGCTCTTGATCCTCATATCGCGGGAAGTGATCAGTATTTTTTGGAACGTGCATTTCAGGAATACAAAATCCTTCCGCTTGGCTTCCTGCCTCGATATCCACCTCTTCTCGAGAGCCGATGTAATCTGGATTTGAGCGGAGTACGTAATCTTTAGCAATAAGTTGGTACCAGTCTGCATAGATGTATTCGATCGGCATCATACAGTTTAAGATGACCGAGAACGGCTGGAGCCAAACTCCTGATATTCTATCAAAGGTGTATTTCTGCAAAGGAAAAAATGAGAGGAAAATCACTATAAAAATGGATTGTAATGAACTAGTCTCCGATTAAACTATATGAAATATAAATGAGCGGGACGCATTTGTATAAGCATAATATATAGGTCGGACTCCAATATTTTTTTTACCATACATGCACACTTGTACATGTGAATTCTCGCGAGCTGATTGGTTGATTAGAGTGTGTCAATAAGAGGACATGCACACTGTGCTGACACCATCACGTCTCTCGCGAGCGCTGAATCGAAAGAAAAGAATGATTTTCGTTATATTTTAGACTAAAACTGTGGTAAAAAAAATTAAAACAAATTGCACACGGTTTTTCGTTGTACGTCCTCTTATTGACACACTCTTGACGTCATAAAACTCGATCACGTGACTCATATTGCTTATCAAATAAAGCTTAATACTTGCTAGAAACTTCAAGATAAAATATTGTTTTAAAGAGAAAATAATTCTAAGTCAAAGTCGTATGCCTGACAAATCTCAAGCTCACGTAAAGATGCGGTCACGACAATCATTTTCCATTGTGTTCAACTTATGAATTATTCATGTATCTATAAATACCATACAACATGATACAATGCTTAATATGATCGTTAGCCATTTTCAGGTTCAAATAGGTGAAACCATTGTAAGGGATTTTTTTTAGGAACCTTGCTTCGCAAACGTTTCAACAACTAGGAAGTAAAGTGTAAAATTATAATGCCCGATCAGTTTTGGTTTACCGTGAAATGGCAATGCAGGATAGTTTAGTGCAGACAGTGTTAAGGAACTGAAGAATTGTACACATAATATCCATGGCATAATTCGTTGCCTTCTGAAGTTCTGATTCTCCCTTATCGGTCTTAGCTATCAGATGATGATGTGATATTAAGTGAAGCTTATTTGTTTACTTTGAACTGTCAGACTGTGTTCATGATACCCGTGAAACTCATTTTGTTCAAGAAGTTTCCTTATCTGTCTTATTGCTCTTTTTCAATCATTCCCATGAGATTCAAAAGATAAAAGACCGGCGGCCATGTTGGTTGAATGAACAATAGATACTAATTAGAAATCCTTTGTTGAAGTTCAACCAAGATGGCGGCTGTGACGTATATTGCAAACGAAGAATATTATCATAGATAATTTTATAACCTTTGTGGAGCTGAAAACACTTATTTGTTTCAGTTCGGTATATTTTTTTAGCTTTATAAAGGAGTATACAGTATATTAAATATAAACCATAAAATACAGAGTTGGAGTTATTTTTGATGTCAAATGAATAGCATTCATTATCAAGATAGTCAAATGTGTATATATATTATTTAGAATTGATAATAACGATTCTCATCACGATTTTTGTACCATATTGTACTTACCGATTTCTCCATTTTCACTTMATGAATGGCGAGGAATTGATGAAAATAGAACTGCAAGATATATGATGGATAAACCGATAATAATGATAACTGATGAAAGTGAACTGTCTCTGCATATCCTGTGGAGTGTTCTGACGTGATTATTCATTTGATTAATTTATGTATTACAGAGGGTTACTGAAGCGGGCCACCTGGAGAATTAAAATAATCACAATTTCGATTGAAAACAAGGCTTAAAATTAAAAAGCTAAAAAACGATGATCAGTGACAGTACAAGGAACTAAAGCTTATGAGATGAGGTTTCCCTATAGTTTCAATTCTTTGCTTTCAGTCTAAATTGTGGGATTTTATATTCTCTAGGTGGCCACGGTTTCAGTAGCCGCACTCAGTGCATCAATGATGCATGAGGTAAACGCTATGTAATGCATGTCTGTTGTCTGTTTACGCTTTCAAACAGCACGTACGGGCTCTTTTAACACTTTGGAGTTTTCTCTTGGCTTGAGTGAATTCTGACTTGAATGATTGAAAAGAATCGCCGCTCAAATATTTGGATGCATAGCCTGAAAAAATAATAAACATATAAATTAAAAAACTCATAAATGGAATATTGGCAAGGATTTTTATGTTTTCAACTACTTTTTTTGTATGTTTTATTCGTGTATTATACGTTTTCTTGTTGTCATTACCTAATGTTTGTATTCTAAGCCAAGGCGACAGTCCCTTATATGGGTTATCGGTATATGTCAATATCATGTTTATTGTATTCTTTACATAAACCCTAAAGGAGGATGACTTTTTATCAGATATAAAGCTTCATGATCCTAAAAAAGGTCTCAAGTTTAATATCCCATCATTGACTAAGTAATGCAAGATTGCAAACAAAATAAAATATGCACATAGTTTGAACATTACTTCATGTGCATTCAATGTGGGATGACAAATATGCTTTGTACGTTGATTTGCGCATGATCAGAATGTCCCTTTCATCTCCATGCCATACCGATTTGGCAATACTCCGTTTTATATTTCCCTACGTTGTCCTGTAAAGTAGCCGGGCCTTTACATCAAAGCGAGACAGCAGCTATCCTGCATTCTTAGGTTAGTTAGGGAGAATGGGAAAGAAAATTTTGTAAGTATAACAGCGCTGTGCAGGATTTCGTTTGTGTTGGTTAACGAAAAGTCGACTCAATGGTAAATAGTTTCCTTCACGGTTACCTGCGACATCTTGAAAGGTAGCCGTGCCTTGTCATCGAAGCGAGACAACCGTTGAGCGTGCAATGATAGAAACCTTCTTTCACACCTACAGATAATTATTCACAGGTATCTATCATTGCACKCTCAACGGTTGTCTCGCTTCGATGCAAAGGAAAGGCTACCTTTCAAGATGGCGAAGGTAACCGTGAAGGAGACTATCTAAATTACGCCTTCTTTGCCTATAAAGACAAATGTCATATGTTGTGCACGTTTTCCTTTTGTGTAGCAAATTCGAACGTGCGGCTCGAAATGAAATGTTAGTGAAATGAAATGAAWTGTTAGTGCAAATCGCCATTTGTGAATACAGAATGAGAATCAATTCAAAGAAAATGTAAATCTTTGTTCAGGGCTATTGTAACAACTGCATTTCTTCATGCTTGGTATTTGGTAATGCCTTTGTGCAAGATAATCTATTGTCATTTAAAGCAGCGTTGATTATGCGCTTTGTACACAAAAAAGAAGCATTGAAACTTTACAGTGTGCTTTGAAGAGTTTGTTGAGTTATTTGAAGATTCCGCGCTTTTGCAGACTTTATTTTTCATATTTTCAAACAAGATGGATACTAAATGGATAGAATACAAGTGTAAATCAGGACAGACTCTGTATTACTACAACAAAGTGACAGGAGAAMGYAAGTGGCCTTCGTATGCAAATGTAAGTACAAATATCAAAACTTATTGCAGATTTACAACAGAGCATTCATTTTACACTAACAGCATGAAAACGTATACTAACTAATTAAATTGATCGTTTTCAAACATTCCCATGACATACAAAACGATGAAAGACCGGCTTTCATGATTGAGGAAAGAGCAATTAATATATAGACCCCTTGCATGTGACGTCAAAGCAGCTTCATCTGGAGGGCGAAACAAAAGATTTTTATCCTCTTGGGAACTAGAATCTATTCATTTGTCCTCCAGTTGGAGCTGCATTCCCATGAACTGCAAGGGGTCTATTGATGGTTTTCAACCATTCCCATGAGAGTGAGCAAAACAAAAAGGTCCACCAGTCAGTCCACCAGCAATGACGGACGTCTTTTGTCCAACTGTCTCTCCTGGGAATGGTTGAAAACCATCAATAGATACCAATCAATGAAAAATCCTTTGTTGAAATTCCTCCAACATTGACGCTGTGTGACCTCTTATGAAAACCGAAGAATAGTGCTCAATAACAGACCATACAAAATGTGTTTGCATTCAGCAGTACAATTTAAAGTAAACTTTTTCAGGGCTTCTGTGCTTGCACTCTAAGAACTTGAAAATCGAGCATGCGCTTTCATTCTATGTATTCTTTGTATACAACTACTCCATAAAACGTTGAACAATGAAGATAATGCATTCCAAAGCCGCAGCTCATTGCTGGTTGTTTTATGGTCGTTGTAAAGGAGCTGTCGTTGTTTCTGAGTGAAAGCAACAGCTAGCGTATAGCATAGTTAGTAGAGGAAGATCAGTCCTCCCCTCTTAAGTATGGGCATAGTAAATAACTTCAATGAGAAGTAATTCAATTTGGAATTATCTTATTGTAACGTATTTAACGCGGAAGTAAATAGCCACAATACATTGCGGTCTTGGAATGCACTATGCAGTATTCAGTGTTGAATGATTTCTGAAATTGGTGCGTCTATTGATATTGTTTGTTTGGGTTTCCTGTGCTAAAGACTAAAACATACTTTGAATGATTTTGCAATGTGCATGTTGCCGTTACTCAMCTATACAAAGAATGTCTTGCCGGTGCATGTTCTTTTCGGTCTCAAAGGGAGTAAAAACCTTAAAAAGCAAAGACAGTGCGCAAACCAATAAAAACATAATGCAATGGTTATTGAACTTGTCAACTCTCGACGAAGTCTCAAGCTCTTGCTCTCAAAATTCCAATGTTATATCACCTTTCAAGACAATGGCCAAAATATGTTTTTAAATGTTATTGCCAAAGTGAAGTATCGTTTTACTTCCATGTAAAAGAATGCAGGGCATAGCATAGAAACTATAAATAATTTATCGTTTCAGTGTTCAACAGAAGACAAGAACAGCATGAACAGTCAGCCAGTCATCAACAAAGACTTGTGTACACAGACAGATATTGGTTGTCCYTCCAGTTTAKRRCAAAGCACAGAAACTTCACCTCAACAAAAGCCATTTGTTTTCCATGCCGGAGATGTTAAAGAGGAAGAAGACAGTATGGATGGAGATGGAATTATTGATGCAATGTTGAAAGTTCTTGAGGAAATAACTGATGGAAATGTCACTGAACATTTGGTGAAGTTTACAAATGACAACAACTATACATTGAAAGAACAGATAAATATGTCAACAATATGATAAGCTTAGAAAGAGAACAYCGACATCAAAAGGTAGTAGAGTTCACAAATGACAACAACAAACAAGCTAAAGATATTTCTGTTCGTGATTATGAGGAGAAATTAAAAGGTTTGAAATGGTCTACTAAAGAAAGCGAAAATCATTTCAAATGCTCATATTGCAACAAGAAATTCAATCATAGAGGTAATTTTAATGTTCATATAAGAACACACACTGGAGAGAAGCCGTTTGGATGTTCCTACTGCAAAAAGAAATTTGCCGTCAGCACCAGTTTAGGAAAGCACTTAAGAAGGCACACTGGAGAGAAACCCTTTGGATGCTCTACTTGCAAAAAGAAATTTGTAGAGAGCAGCTCTTTGAAAATTCACATAAGATCACACACTGGAGAGARGCCCTTTGAATGTTCTTACTGCAAAAAGACGTTTTCACAGAAGGGTAATTTRACACGTCACTTACAAGTACACATTGGTRAGAAGCCTTTTGAGTGTCCACACTCAGGATGCAAAAAGAACTTTTTTGACAAGGTCAATTTAAAACGTCACTTACGACTTCACAATGGAGGGAAACCATTTGAATGTTATTACTGCAAACAGAAATTTTCATATGAGGGTAATTTATCACGTCACTTACGAATACACGATGAAGGAAAGCTATGACTTTGAATGCCGTACAGCAAGAAAAAATTTTCAGGAAAAAAAGCTAATTTGACGCGTCACTTACGACTACACGATGTAGAGAGACTCTTTGAATGTTCTTACTGAAAAAAAAGGTTTTTAATATCAGCGTCACAAGGATCTGACAAGAACGCCGTGTTCTTCCTGCAAAACGGTACTGCTTTGAAAGTATTACGAGAAGATGAAATCAATTCAGAATATAATTTTTCATTATTTTTGTTTGTTTAGTGCTTTTTACTCATTGTATTGATTTATGTCGTTTCGTATTCAAAAACCATTCTAGGTAGACTTCAAACGCTAATAGTAGCCTACTATCAACGTAGAGAACGCGTTAAMTAGTGAATGCATTATAGAATGAATATTTAGTAGTATGTAGGATATTTTCATGGATTTATTGCGTCCACTACTCTCATCGACTAATCAAATAGTGATAGCCACAGAGGCTAGTGTCTAATAGCTTTTAATGGCGTTGTGCATTCATAACCCAGATATCGAGTCTCGAAGTGAAACCCGTGGCGATTTAATACATTTTAGCAAATTTTAGCTACACTTATGTCCATCAAAATTTAATTATTATGTACAAATAGATTAAATTAATGAGCTTGAACGATCAATAATTTTAATAATGTAAATTGTCTCTAAAATTTTAATTATTTTTTTTGCAATATGTAGATTTTTATAATATTAACTTTTAAAGATGTATAAATTTATACTATAAATAGAATAAATTGAATAAAAAGCCACACAACTTRTAACTTGGTTTCCACATTTTTTATATTACATATATAGGAGCCATATTATTTATTTTGTATATTATATACTTGTAATTCGCAATTCAGCCGATTTATTTTATAAATTTGGCTGCGATGTTTTACAAATATACTATCTATATATCTATTATTCTAATAGTGAATCACATTCGAGGCCAGCTGTAATAGGTAGTCTCCTTTCGCATCCGTTTTCGCTTCGGGCTTCCTGTCCCTCCCTTCAAGGGGAGGGACAGGAAGCCCGAAGCGAAAACGGATGCGAAAGGAGACTATAGAACATGATTCGCAAGTAATATCGATGATTTCAGAAATACTCAGATAGCTCTGCTTGCCCAGTACCTTTCATTCTTGAAAATAGTTTTCGAGGAAGGGAAATTCTCGCTATTGTCAAAAGAACATTTGAAAATGGATTGGCGTAGAATCATTTCGTAAAACTCTGCCAACAAGTACAACAATTTGCAAGTCATAAGTTTTTTAAAACTTTTTTAAAATGCAAGACAACAATCACAAATCAATTCGTCAAAAAACATATTTCACAAATCATGATTGAAAATCAGACAGTTTTCAAAAGTAGTCATGCAGGAAGACATTCCATTTCACAAGTCATAATGCTGAAAATACACAATTTGAATTTTGACCCCAAAAACGCGCCATAGCCATGCACTAGGTCTGTTTACAGTAAGTAGAAGTGAAGACATGAACATTTGTGAGACGTGAACATGTTGAAGACAAAAAGAAAGCGAAAAAGACTTTGCATAGCATTACAAAATATTTTTTGCAATATTTCAAAGGCCTTCAAACGAGATACCATTTAGAAATTATTGTAAATGATACAGCCCTTTGCAAAAATTATGAGAATTGTCGAAATATCTAAATATCATAATATCAAGTGCATGATGGGTAATCCCGCGCGAAACCCTTTGTCCCGAACACGCGGGTTTGCTAGAATAATTCATTGTTGACATCGAGAAAATGTTCAGAACTACGGATAAGTCTGTCGCCGAAAAAAAACTAAACTACAAAGACAAGTGACTAAGGGCATCGCGCGGGATTACCCATCATGCACTCGATATTATGATATTTAGATATTTCAACAATTCTTGGCGTACTTTTATCGCCTTGTACATCTGATCACCGTTCGTTCCTCGGCGATAGTGGGCACGAAATGTTATGTTCGGATTTTATTTTTTTATTTATCATTAAGCTTATATTACTCACCAAAGATGAATATCTTAGATCAAGGCGGGAAAATAAGTTGTGAAAAAAGAATTATCATATGACCCGTATTTCGGCCCTACGCGCGCTCTCACTGAAACCTTTGGAAAATGGTCACGTGATGGGGTCCGTACAGAGGAGGGAACAGTAGTACCCCACAATGCATTGCGTTTNAACCTTTTGCAAAAATTATGAGAATTGTCGAAATATCTAAATATCATAATATCCATATCCATATATTGTCCGGAACACGCGGATTTGCGAGAATAATTCATTGTTGACATCGAGAAAATGTTCAGAACTACGGATAAGTCTGTCGCCGAAAAAAAACTAAACTACAAAGACAAGTGACTAAGGGCATCGCGCGGGATTACCCATCATGCACTCGATATTATGATATTTAGATATTTCAACAATTCTTGGCGTACTTTTATCGCCTTGTACATCTGATCACCGTTCGTTCCTCGGCGATAGTGGGCACGAAATGTTATGTTCGGATTTTATTTTTTTATTTATCATTAAGCTTATATTACTCACCAAAGATGAATATCTTAGATCAAGGCGGGAAAATAAGTTGTGAAAAAAGAATTATCATATGACCCGTATTTCGGCCCTACGCGCGCTCTCACTGAAACCTTTGGAAAATGGTCACGTGATGGGGTCCGTACAGAGGAGGGAACAGTAGTACCCCACAATGCATTGCGTTTCAGACTATATTATCGGTTTTTATATGACGTCATCACTTGTTTTTGTSTTGGCCGAGTGAAGATCAATGGCGGGAAACTTTGACCCGTTCGCCAATTTCATCTCTAGAATTTCGATTATAGAGATGAAAATCTCAAAGATTCTTCTTTTTTATATATTCATTGTATAAGTAAGAACAATTTTCAAGTATCGACAAGAAGAATTGCTTTTTTAGACCTTATTTGTCGACAAGTGGACATCAGTTTTGTAGATAAGTTAAATCGATAAGGAAATTGTCGGAGAGTTGAGTTGCTTTGATTCCTCTCGCTGTGGACGGTCAAAAGGTTGAAAGCTGTTTGATAAAATAAGAAGTCCTACTTTATAGTCCGTGTTTTTATTTCGTCAGATTTAGAGGTTAGTAAAAACTTGTTTTCATTGTTTGAAATTACTTGAAATGAGCTTAGAACTAGATTAGAACTGAAGTCCGGCTTTGATGCTAGAAAAACCGAAGTTGTTGTTTTGCATTGAAAGAAATCATTTTATAAATAAACAGTTCTTACTTTGATCATTAGTTGGTATAAGTTGTTTTCTGTTTTATTGTAGTATTTATGGGTAGTGTTTTCAGTTTCATTGCTAATGCGCGATTTGTAAACTCATTTTAATATTAAAGCTTACAGTGACACGAGTTTGTTCTCTTGCTTGCTTTTGGACATTATTTATATTGAAAATCGTTCAAAAAGAGGTTAAAAATATACTGATGTGTACTTTGACACTTGTATTTCAGTGTGTTTTATGATTAACTTATATGTATGGACGAAACTGTAGCATAGCTCGTTGGTAGCGAGTGAACCTTACGCCTAATCAAGATACGCGACTCACACGAACTTAGCAAATTTCAAGGGCGGTTTTCAAGCTCTGTTTAGCACTTGAAATCATGGAGACTTTTTGAGACTTTTTTGACTGTAACTTCGTATGACTTATTTTCTATAGATCTGACTTAACAAAACTTAAATAGCTCAAAGAACAAGTGTAAAAACAGCACTTTTTTGAACCGATCGTCATGTTATATAACTTAAATTGAAACCGCGAATGTCAACTACAAAACAGCAATTTTCTCATACTTAAAACAAACATTACTTCAAAAAATTAAGAGAAATACAAAGAAAATTAATCAGACAGCAAATATTTTCGGAACTTCCCTTGTTAAGATGCAAAAAAGACAATTTTCTGGACCGGAAACTTACTACCCGGCATATCACCGGAAATAGTAGCCATTTTGTCAACAAACCACGCGCGCAAAGCATAAAGGGATACTACTGATATCTCCTCTGGGGTCCGTACGCCTTTTCGCGACAGGTCCGTACAAACCCGTATTTTCCCGGCTTGAAGTTCCGCGCGCCCTTATTTATTTTTTTACATTAAAAAGCGCTGTCATATGATAAAATGCTTATTGACTGAGTTAGGTCGGGCCGTACGGGAAAATATTTGGCTCTCGGTCATTTGTACGCTGTCATATGATAAAATGCTTATTGACTGAGTTAGGTCGGGCCGTACGGGAAAATATTTGACTCTCGGTTATTTGTACGGACCTCGCTGCACTAGTTTCAGGCAGGGCCATATTTTGTATGGAAGTAATTTTTTGAAGCGGCGAGCACTGGCCCCATGCCGATCCGGACTGGGCATTCCTGGATTCCGGATTCAATGAAAAAGTTCACAACGATTTTGCAAACATATTGGATTTTTTTTTACTGACAAATGAATTCATCTGTTAGATTTGTGCACAGTGTAACAGAGAGGCAATGATGTTGTCATGTGATGGTTGTGACAGAGGGTATGTCTTATTCAAATCATTGTTACATGTAGCTTATATTCCTACGTGTCGTTTCCATGAAGGAATTTCCACGTGATAGCTCACGACATTCACGTGACTATATGGATTTTAAACGTAAATAAATATAAAGGCAATAATTCACGATCTACACGTGATTTGAAGGATTTTTCACGTGATCATTCACGAGATTTCGCAAAAGATCATTCTAGTGGTCAGTCATCACGCATCTCTCCTTCATTGCGTGGAGAATCTCCWCCTTTAATAACATGTAAACAAGGAGAAGCAGGTATAATGTCCAAGCTCGTCATATCATAAACACTACCGCTATTTAACTGTTGTAAAATCTTAAGAGGTATATTAAGAGTTATATCCCAAMAATATTTTTTCACGCGCATCCATTGGTCCAAAGGCGTCACGTGGTASATTTTCGGCGGACGGGTATCAGGCGATATCCCCCGTCCGAAGATGATATTTGTCCGCGTAAG